AATGTTTAAAAAAAACACACAAAAAAACGCTGATCTTATTCAGGGAATAAGGGACCTTTTTCTTTGCCAAAAAGTGTAATAGGAAAACTGAAAGGCCACCTGTGTCAGCCCACCCTATGGTATGAACATAAGCTATAAGAGTATTTTGGAAAATATCTTTAAACTGAGATGAGAAAAAAATCAGTATCAATACAGATTCCAAGCAGATGCAAAAGGCTTCTGTGCATGTTAGTGATTATGTGTGTGGCCTGCACAGCCTAATTTCAGATGCCTCCCAAACCCAGTGTACTTTCTCTTTTATAAACTATTTGGGATTAAAACTAGGACCTCATCCATATCAACTTTGACAATGGACACAAATACAGCGTAAGCTAATCAAGCCAAACAAGTATAATTTTCCCCCTCATAGATGGCTCTTTTAATCTTAAATGCCTACTGAATTTTATAGACTACACTTAATATTTCCACAGTTGTTTATTAAAATTACTTTCCTAGGAAGTTCTATGAAACCAACAGTGTAGTTTGTATCAGAACTGAGGCGATCAGAGAGAAGTTGAGATGATGGCATTCTCACAGCAAGCAGACAACAATAGGAAACTCTTAGCACTCCCAGAGTTGCATCAAATTTTCCATGGACCGAAACTAAAATGAAATAGTTCAATTACTAAGAGGTAGATAAGTAAAATAAACAACTAATTTCATACAGTGAAGTTGGGAGAGAGTCATATGGACCTCATTCTGTTGTCTCCAAACACTGTATCGGAGGGGAAAAAGAGCTGAATAAACTTTAAACTCTCATGTAGGGATGTATTGCTTGTGTGTCCCTGGCAGATGTGGAAAGGAGATGAAATGGGCAAGGGAGAATCAAATATCCCATCGCTGCAGGTTTGCTGAGGGAAAGAGCACTGCAAAGATCTCACATCTGGCAATCATTTGTCAATAGCTGGAAAGAGAACGGCAGGAAACTTTCTGGCTCTTGGAGAAGATGAAAAGACAAAAACCATGTGTCACACACACACATACACACACACACATTCTGCAATGGTACAATGACTACTACACTTATTCTCCACCCCTCCTCCCCCCCCCCCCAAATTTAATGATCTTCAGATATACTCTACTCCGTGGTCAAAAACATGCAGTCACTTGACTTGTTAAAGCTGCAGTGTATGTACATTTTTCAAATAAACCCCAGGGCTGATGTTAGAAAATCAAAATCAGTCAAGCATAGACCGCCTGGTACTTTGGGCAGGAATCCTTGTGGTTTAGTCAATAAACAGAATCTGAATGAAAGACACCACAGTAACTAGACAGTAACGTTTTGAACGGTTCTTAACCTGAAGGGGGGTTGGGGGAGGCGAGTGCACTAGTGACCATGGATATAAGGCTAGCAATCCACTTAGATGACTCGCTATACCTGCAACATGACTGTGTTTAGCACAAGGTCATCTGCTGTTACACACACACACACACACACACACACACACACACACACACACCACAGAGTGAACTTGTATTTGAGGAATGTTGTGAATGAATTTGGAGAGAAAACAGCTTGTTGTTTTTTAAATAACTATTCCTGTTTAATAGGGTGGGAAGGGGAAACCCCAGATTCTGTGCAGTCCATATTAGTGATAATAATATAGAAAATTTGCTGGCTTCATTATGAGTTCATAAAAATGACCAGCTTTGCCCTAGCAGGTTTATTATGCAATAAAAAGTTTTCGGGACAACCCATACAAAATTAATTAACTTCTCCAAAATCATAGGAATTTAAATCTGGTCATGGTGATCGATAGACTTCAATAAGCAGCTTTCAGTTCACCCTTATGCTGTATTTAACTAGCAGCAGCCGCCAGGCTCATCCCTGTGATTCCATAAGTGAATGCTGCAGGTTGTTTAATAACCTGGCAAATTCACAGTAGCTTGTCAAATTATTACAGGAACAGTGTCATCACTAAACAAGCCTGATCACGGTTAATTACAATGCAGACTAGAGAGCAGCCACAATTGTTCATTAATTACAGGAAGCACCTCATTTAAATTTTATGGAAATTTACACTTGCACCCTGGTATGTCTGGGGGAAAAAAAAGTGATCCTTCACGCATTCACAGAAGAAAGGAGTCTGTGGTTTATGAAACATCACAGTAAATTGTGTCTAATCTGGTACTGAAATATTGGTTCATTATTTACTCTAATTTTCTAAGCACTTTAGTGGTGAAAAATATCAAGTCAACCTCACATCTTGAATTCCCAACCAAGAAAGGAACCGTGTTGGGTTAGCTCTAACAACTTAGTACAGGATAAGGCACAGTCAGACTCAAAAAGTAACTTTTCTCTGATTGAAAATATAACATTTAAGAGCAATTAAGGGAAGTCTAAACTAAAATAACCACTTCCTAGAAAATAACTGTATAAGAGCACAATTTTTTGCTAATATCAGTTAACCTCCAAAGCTAAAGAAAGTATACAGTTTCATACCCACTTCAAAATCAACAAAATTAGACAGCGAATCAAAGTTTTGATTTTGAGCTACTTTTCAAAGTTAAGCATATTAACATAAGATACCCTTGCAAAACTCAAGTCAGACACAGACTTCGAGAATAACAGTCACTCAAAACCAAAGATATGTTCATGAAAGAGTGTCTGAGATCTTGGGATTACTAAGCAATAAAGTTGCTAAGCCATCTGAAATTTTAGGGATAGCAAAAAAGAGTGAAAAGGAAAAAGGCAAGAACAGAAAGGAACTCAACCAGTCATGAGAAATTATGTCAGTTAAAATATAAAAATAAATCGAATATGGGCACACTGTGTGTCTAAATGAAAATACTTCATAGGAAAGAATATAAACAAACCATTGCTCCTAAATCGAGGTGTACAAGAGGTTGTTCTCAGAATCAAGAGGCCAAACAGCAAATTCTCTAGTGGTTATAATGCTTGGCCCTGGGGGACAGCCTGAGATCCAAGTAGGAAAAATAGATGCCTCTGGCAAGTATTATACTGAGTTCCCTGGAGGGCAGAATTAGACTAAAAACTAAGAAATGGCTCATTCCTGGGGGGGGGCAGAATACATGTCATGGCAAGAATGAAAGGACTCTAGGCTAAAAAAAACTCCTGAAATTGTTAGCTGGTGAAGAACATAGTGTCAGGGTATTTTTTATGACTGATATAATATGGATATGTACCAGATATTATTAAAATGTAAGGAAGCCATATTTAGAAAGGAAGAGGAAAAGGAGAAGGAAATGGTTCAAATGAGTTCCAATTAATTCACCAATTCACCATACTTGACTATCTTTGGACAGAATCAACCTTTCCACTCAGTCTGCCAAAATGGTGTTGCAAGAGGAGGAGTCCAATAAAATGAGACTCATTTCTTTGCCCAGGGGCTTGGTCTTCTTTGCAAGGACCATGCTGAACTGTCAACTCTACAAATGTTTAACTACCTACAACCAGGGTTTCACTTAAACTGGTAAATACACATTTTCTCTCTTGGTATGTTAAAATAATATGCTCCATTGGTCTCTTTCAGTTTTATTTCACACAGTCACATCTGCAAAACCCATTGCTCTTTGCTCCATAACTCAAGGTTCACAAACAGATTATCCAACAACCACCCATGACAGACCATTCCAGGTGATGTGTTTGAAGAACATCACTCGTCCTACCCAAAGAGGTCAAGGATCAGACCACTCTCCACGAAAAGCCTTCCATCACTCTGCATTTATGTGTCACACACAAGCTGTTAGCTTTCTAAAACTGGGAGATACATGATCATGTCTCATATGTGTCACACCTGCTTTTCTGTTGTACCATAGCCATACACCACCCAGACAGTACCAGCTTGTGGCACAGCAGAGCTCAGGTGGTCTTCCCTAGGCCAAGAGCAGGTGTGCAGGAGATGGGATACTCTTCAGTACCATAAAAACTGAAAGCTCCTCCTACCACCACTTCTACCTTCACTCCAACTGTGAAGAAGTCAATTTTTAAAACTATTCTCCTTTCTCATGTGGGGTGTCTAAATAGTAAAAATGTTTTAAAACCAAGCTCACCATGTTCATCCCATAAGTCTGAAAATTTAGGAAGTGATGCCAAATGGAGTCCCTAAAAAAATAATATGTGTTTGTTCATGCTAGGGGATGCCATCCATGTTACAACTTCAGCCAGTATCTTTGCATTACTGGCACACACACATCCCTTAAATATTAAAAGGCATATAAAAACAGAGCCAGATCTTTGGCCACAATGTCGTATTTATATTCTTAATTGGAAATACACCTAACTACTTCTAATATCCCAAAACCACATAACATGAACTGAATTCCAAGTAAATATTTTCACTTTGTTAATAAACTTAATATTATGTCACAGGACATATCTCCTAATGCATGAAAAGGGAAGATACTTCTCATTAAATCCTATTTTTCTATACAGTGTCCAGCTGAATGGCTTCTGCTCTCCTGAGCTGAGAGATAATAATGCAGGAAGCATAGATGGCTCACCTTGTAGCCATCTAGTGTCAAGCACAGTGCTGAGCACAGGATAATTTTAAAAGATTAGAGCTAATATTTACTCAGTGCCTGTTACGTGCCAGGCCCTGTGCTAAATTCTAGGAATATGTTAAAACATTTATCCCTTATAATCACCTTGGGTAGTGACTCTCCATTTTATAGATAGGAAAGCTTAAGTTTAGTTTGATTGAATAACTTGACGAAGGCCTCACTGTATTTTACGTCAACCGAGGCAGTGAGCCTTCAGAAACCATGTTCTTATCCACTGTAGTGTGTATCATTTCTTGAATGAATAAATGAATCATCTCCAGTTATAGACGATCTATCCTGAAAAGGACCTCTCATTGCACACATGCTACCTTGGCTCCTCTTTTACACCTGTCTCCACAACTGACCATCTCCTGATGGCGTTGCTATACCTGCATCGCCTTCAGGGACCACTGTTTCTGTCACACCACCCCCAACTAATAAAGCAATAAGACTCCAACCTGGACTTCCAGCCTCTGGTCTGGCTCCTCCAGGTTTGGGCAAAAGTCTGCACCCAGCACTCTGCCAGCACATGCCACTGGAACCTGGGGGAATATGGCCAAGTTAGACGCTGGATGTGGAGGCTGCTGAGAACTGCACAGAAACACATTAGACCCAGACGGAAGCAGGGACATCCCAACTGCAGGCATTAAACAGGCCATCATGACTCCATTGGTTTTTGACACTTAGTATGTCAGTATATTATAAATATCATGTAACCAAGCTCATTAACTATCAGAAGGTAAATTCCAAGAATAAAAGATGCACAAAATTTTTATTCCCCCTTGTATCCACAGCGTGTAGCACAACATAGGCATTTAATAAATATCTCTGGATGAAAGCAGAGGTTAAAGTAAAGAGAAAAAGAAATGTAGAATCTCTGCTTGATCCCAGTGACATTTTCCCCTTCTGTCATTTAATTTTCTTATGTGAGAGTGAAAAACATTGCATTCTTTTTTTTTAATATTTTTATTTATTTCTAGGAGAGAGAGAGAGAGAGACAGCGTGAGCAGGGGAGGGTCAGAGAGAGAGGGATACACAGACTGAAATAGGCTCCAGGCTCTGAGCTGGCAGTCAGCACAGAGCCCAACGCGGGGCTCGAACCCACGAACCGCGAGATCATGACCTAAGCAAAAGTCGGACGCTTAACCGACTAAGCCACCCAGGCGCCCCAAAAACATTGCATTCTATAATGTCAAAAGTTCCTTTCCACCGTTTACCTGATCAAATTTATTTTTTCCTATTCATGGTATAGGTTAGCACAGACAGACTCTGTCTATCAATACTTATTATTTATTTACCATCTCTAAATTTTGTTGAAGAGGCTTATTTTATGTCTTTTCCCATAATAAAAAATGGTAAAACAGTTATAATTTAGAATGTTTCTCTATATCTCAAATTCCACACTGAAAGCCACTTAAGACCCCCTTTCAAAACTAAATTATCTAATTAGTTGATCTCATCCCAAAATGCCACCAACTATCACCTACTTACTTCATTTTAGATTTTTCCTGAGGTAAAGACAAAATGCTGTAAATTCCATCTCTGCATTTTAAAAAACTTCCCTGAATCACTACTCAGTACTTCCAAACATACACTATCTTCATTAATCATACAACTATGCATATCAGAATCTTGGTCCATCAATCGGCTTCCTCCTATCTTCTTTCCCCATCAGCGCCCACCTCTGCTGTTTTGTTCTGTGCTTTAACTCCACTTAGGATCATCTGTGACAATTTTCCTTGTTCGGATGTAAGTTTTCAGCCAAGTAGGCTACTTTACAAGGTATTTCCCTCTTTCTTTTAACCCACGAATCAGTTCACTTCTCTAAAGCTAAACAATTTTCAATAAAGTTCACTTTGCAAGTTCATCAGTAAATATTACTAATATTAAAAAAGAAAGCTCTCAGCCAATTTTCCATTTTTAGGACCAACTCTCCTATTTCTCTCAAGTCCTGCAATTATTTCTTCTTGCCTATGTCCATAAAGTGACATGGACAGATTGTCATCTTTGAAATACTGCTCTTTACCCACAAATTTCACACTGGAGCCCAAAAAGGGAAGGAAGAGAGTCACATTCTCTGAGCATTTACAGTCATGCAACCCTGTGGGCACCTTACACATAGATTAACCTGTTTTTTTCAACTATCGTATGGCATATGAGCATCTCCATTTGACAATTAAAAATGAAACAAAACAAAACAAAACAAAACCAAGGCTTCAGTAGGTAACTAGCTAGAAAGTTGCAATGCCCAAACTTAAGAGATGACAAGACTGAGAAGAGGGGCACATGGGTGACTCCACTGGTTGAGTGACCTACCCTAGATTTCAGCTCAGGTCATGATCCCATGGTTTGTGGGTTCGAGCCCCACACTGGGCTCGGCACTGAAAGTAGGATTCTCTTTCTCTCTCTCAAAATAAATAAATTTTTAAAAACTTAAAAAAAGCATGATGCCTCTTTACAAAAAGAGAGAAGACAACATATTTCAAAGAAGCAAATAAAAAACATACAATAGCTGCATTTAGTGGCTTACATTCTAGAGGCATTTGCTGATATTTCATATGACAGAAATTACAAAAAAGACGAAGTGGAGAAGGTATGTTTTCAAGACCTACTACTTGCTCTGTGGTCTAGGACAACATAAGCAATGTGAAAGGAATTTAGCCTCTAACTTGAGGAATGAGAAAGAAATGGGGCATGGAGAAGAGTAGAGACACTGTGCATGTGCATTGTGGCACACACAGACTGATGCTGATGCCACCCCTCAGCTGACATATGGAGGGGCACTAATGAGTTCTGCAACAGTAATTCTCCCTACGGGGCAATAGAAGAACTGAGAAAAAATTCATCTTAGAATATTCCACAGGAAAACAACCCCCTCCCCAACAGCTTCCTATAAAACCTCAATAAATATGGTGACTTAACTGATTAAAGCAGATTCCATGAGCCAGAATATATATATATATATATATATATATATAGCAAATTGAGTGCAAATAATACTTTTTTTTATGTACACAAAACAAATTTCCACTTACCTTACTATTATTTGATAGTAAGTTTCTAGTTCCTTTCTACCACCCTCCACCCTGCAGAATGCATTTTATAAACACTCTTAAGAGAAAAGGAGAAAGTTAAACACAACTACAATTACACTCAATTACAACATCAGACACTTAGAAATACATAGTTTCTGAGAGAGAACAAAAAGGTCTGTGAATAAGTTAGAAGGAAACAGTACTACTAGAATGTTTCAACAATCCAAACCATGAAAAGAACTACACTAGGGACATGAGTTAGCACTCACAAACTTAGAATCCTAGAGTTTCTGAGCAGGAAAAAAAAAGCCATCAGGATCCATGAAAATGGACTCCCATATTTTAAAGATGAGGAAATGGAGATTTAAAAAAAAACTTCAGCTTTACTAATAGGTTCACCATTTAACAATACGCTCCCACCCCATTCACTACATTTAGTGGCAGCATCAGGTGAAGGAAAAAATTAAGGAGAAAGCAAGCTGTTACTATTTCCTAATTCATCAAAATATATCAAGGAAATATCAAAAAATATAAAAGTTGGTAACCCAATTAGTTATAATTCTGCACACCTAGACAATTAGGCTTTTTGATTTAGAACCCTGTGTAGTGAGACAGTTAGCAATAAGCGATCAAAACATGACTGACAGATAATAGCAGACATAAACTGTCTAGCTCCTTAGTATCACTCCAGTTTAAATTAAGATAATGAACTATGGTATGTACCTAACCACTGTTTTCCTGGAATATAAAATTTAAATTGATTTGCAGAACTCCAACTTTATCTGCTTTCTTTCATACCAGTGTTCAGTGTCTGCTTCAATGCCATACTTTAAAACAAAGTTCTCTATAAGGATTTTCACAAAATGTTTCAGTGATTTTTTATCTCTGAAAACTGGTAAGACGAAGGGGACATCATATTTTTTATTACTTTTTGCATTTTAGTATATTCTGCTTTTAAAGTAAAAAAAACATTTAAGTTGAAAACAATTAAAAAATATGAAACTGATCGGCTAATTTCTGAACAGTATGCCACAGGTTTAATTATGAGAATGGTAATTGTCTGGTACTCATCTAAATTTCATTGTGCTAGTGCTGTAACAGGAAGTAAGAGGCCTTGAAAGGGACCCTCTAAAATCCCATGGGTAAACTGAAGCTGAGTGCATATCTACTCTCCAGGACATACCTCAAAGGAATCATGGTGTGTGAGAGAGCTATTTACAACTTACTTTGTGTATAATCAGCAGAAACAAAAGATATGACAACAAGCATAAAGGCCTCCCTCTCTCTCCTTCCTTCTCCCCTCACAGGGGAATTCAGCAAGGGAGGGCCAGTGGGCATTCACTTCGGTGTCAAAAGGGCTTCCAGAAAACACATTTTCTGTGGGACAGGGAGGAAATATGGCAGGCTTCCTACACACACACACACACACACACACACACACACACACACACACACACACTAGTTCTTTGTTTACTGAGATCACACATAAAAACTGTTAGGGGCCAGGCTTCTGAAAAGAAGACTGAAAAAGCCCCACAACAGGAGTTACTACTCACAACTGAAACTGAATGAGGAACAAGGTGTGTGTACGGAATGGAAGAAACAAAGACACACAGAAATGATAACTTGAGAGAAGAAACACGTTACCAAGAAAAGGAATTCTACAGACTCTAGGATGCTTCTTGCATAGTCAGGGCCCATTTGAAATTTTATTTTTAAACCTGAAACATTCAGGTAGTCATCTGCCTGATAGCCACTATAAAAGTCAGAGACTAAATAAACAAACCAACTTCCATGTCAGCTCAAGACTCTTCAGTTAAGCTGGCCACAAGCCTGGATCAGTTCTGAAGTGTGTGTGTTTTGGTGACTTCAGTCTAGCAGGGCAGGGATGAGGGAAACTATCTGAACCCATGAAAAACTTGGAAAAGAGTGGACAAAATGTGTTTTAAAAAAACAGAGTAGGAGAGAGAGAAACCATAGAGTCCCATCAGAGGACTGCAGGACGTGGCTGGGTATAAGCTCTGTCACATTCCAAGCCAGAAAGAAGCACAGACTGAATCAGCTTAATGTCAGTAGCTAGACAATGCCAGGCAGCAAGAGAAAAAATTACTCAGATAACAAAAAATTCAGGAAGACCACTAAGTGAAATAGATTTGGCAATAAGCTAGCCAGGAGCTCTTGTGAGAAAGAGCAGAGAAAGAAATAAATTTATTACCCAACACTGTAAAGAGAAAGATGTACACTAAACACTACATTTGCTACAAAACAAATGAATACAAAAACTGAAAAGGAGAGAGGAGAGATGGACTAAGTTGCTGATAACTTAGATCTTAATTTTTCAGGCTACAGTTTAACTAAAAGACAGCATTTGGGGCCTAATCCTTCTCAGCTGTGGAACCCCAGGCTAAGACTCTGAAGAGAGACGTAAACAAAACCTAAGGCTCAAGAATGGAAATGCTGCTTAACAATCAGAAAGAAACTGGTGGGTCAAAATAGTATTGATCCAG